ACTTTCATTTCTCTATATGTACAATGTAGCAATCGATAAGTCAACCCATAATGATTTTGCTACTATAGGAGCAATTTTCATTTTTTGATAATGTCCAGGCACAAAATCTATGTTACAAGATCGACATATATAAAATAAGTTTATAAAATAATATGAACAAATAACATGATCAAATAATCTCTCAAAGACAATGAGATAGATAAACTTACTAACAAGAAACGACATGAAAAGTTGCATACCTTGATCGTGTTGTGATCTTACTCAAGTAAGTTTTGATTATGTAAAGAGACAATAACCAACCATGACTCTGGCAGAGCTTCGTGCTGATAACGTGTTAAGAAACTAAAAGAATAGATAAACAACTATGAGAGAGTATGAAGAGGAAAAGATACAAGGTAAAAGAGAGGGGAAGAGTTCTTCTTATTCATCTTATTCCTTTATACAATGGGGAGCTCTATTTATAGGCACATATACATAACCTTAACATTCTCCTCTATCAATGCACATAAATGTGATATAATAACCATGAAGAGAATTCATTTCCATGATCAATGTAGGGAGGTAATTACCTCCTAATGTAACATCTCATATGGAATCCAAAGTAGCATCCAATGGACATCCACCATACTATATTGTTTCATAACAACATTATATTTATAGTACATGCATTCTGAGTTCAAATTAAGTCGAACAAAATTGCATTTCATAAGATGTATGTATTCTCAAAATACATCATTTAGAATTGGGGGTTCCAAATGACTAAACACCCGAAGCAAACTTAAAAGGACATCAAGCACATACTATATGTAGAATTGACTACTTGTGATTATTACGAATAAGTATTTATACATTACTATATATATAAACATGAAGTTGAGTTACTGTTGCGTAACTATAAGTCATATAGCCAGCTAGCTAGGTTCATCGCCCTAGTCCACACAAAGACACAAAGCGCGACCCATCCATTGGCAAGGGACCCTTCCACAACCCATTCATCATTTTGCCTGCTTCAAATTTTGTTAAATCTGCTGAAATGAGGGAAGAGAGAAACCCTCCCTCGCCATTCACAGTTTCGCATTCAGTTCAACATTCCAATACAATTAAAATCTAAAACTAGAAGATTGTCATCACCCACATGAGAAGAGAAGCTACTCATTCGTTGATGTGTTGGCCTCTACCTCGTCATTGACGCTACTTATCAACTATCCTCTCAATCCCGGTGCTGCTCACCATTGCGCTTTCTACCTCTCTGTCTTCAGTGTTTTGGAGAGTCCAAGATGTTGTGCCTTACGAGCTATCTTCGCTTCAGCCACTCATCGCCTCTATTTATTGGTTCTTCTTCAACTATCGCCTTATCGTCTTAAAGTGAGACCCTACTAACATCGTACATATACATCTAACTCCAACATGTGAGCTCCCACTCAACCACTACTGCTAAAATAACAACACCTAGATGCCTAATCACTATTCACTACTGTTGTGAAGGTTGTGACTCTAGTGGTTGAGATTATCCACCATAACCTATGTCTAATGGGCACATCATCTTTATTTCCACATAAATTTCATAATTTCCTACATCCATGTTTCCTTCATCCAATTGTCCCCCATTGACATTCTACATGAGAGCACAGTAAAGACATATCACAATTGGTGCTACCCTTCATATATGTAAAAGTAGGGGTTAACATCTTTATTTCCACATAACCTTCATCATTTCCTACATGAAGGTGGGCAACGGGAAACATATATTTGGGTATATACATACCCGTCCCGTTTTGTAGAGTTACAGGTACCCAAATACCCGTATTTTTTATGGGATGGTATTTGGGATCAAGAACTTCTACAATGGGTACGCACGAGTTACCCATTTGGGTATAACGGGTACCCGTACTACCCGCCTAATAGAGTGATCCATAACTCCAGCTTGACAGTAGCAGTAGCAATGAGCATATCAATATGTCTTATTTGCCTTATTTTCAATCAGAGGATGAAATGACCAAAGCTAGAGGTATGTCTTATTTGCCTTATTCAACCAGTCGAGAGCAGTGATGTGTTTCCAATGGAAGCAACAACCATACTAAAGTTTTCATCTTCAAGTATGGTCACACAATCAAAATGCCTTGGTTATGAATCTGCAAAATTGTTAAGTGTCTGAATGCCACAGGTTGCAATTTCATGTTGTGGTTCTTTAAATACTAATTGTGGGAATTTTGTTCCTACGTATCTCAAGTGGAGATGACACTAAATTAGTTTGTTGGAAGTGGAACATTACGGGCTAGATATGGGTTTGGGACATAGGATGGAGTTTACTCTCCAAATGGGACTGGGTACTCATTTCAAACGGGACTGGTATCCAACCACATCTCGTTGCCCACCCCTATTCCTATATCCATGTTTCCTTCATCCAATTGTCCCCCATTGACATTCTACATGAGGGCACAGTAAAGACATATCACAATTGGTGCTACCCTTCATATATGTAAAAGTAGGAGTTAAATAACTCGCATGAATACGAACTTGACCATTCAGACAATACCTTATGTTGTCATCTAGCAATTGACATTTGATGCAGTGTATCAAATGCTTCTTTGTACATAGAGTAGCACCCTTAGACCATGATGCACCGTCTCAATCTCACCATAGACTTTTATTCGTTGGATCTTTGGATGACCAAATTGTACCTTGAACTTTTAAGGGTTAACAAGATACTTCAACATCGGGCCATGTTTGATGTCCTTCAAAAACTTACTATTATACAGGCTTGTACACCTCCACGTTGTAGTATTGACTAACAAACACCTCTGAATCGATCCACTTCCACGACTAACCTTGTTGTACTCTTTAATAAATGAATTGTGCAATAAACATTTCGCATCTGTCCTGACTCTATAGCACTACCTTCTAGAAATCTTTACGAAGTGAGTTTTCTTTATCTCTTGAGCCGTGTGCTTGACCTTCCAACTAGGATCAAGCTTGAAATGCTCAAGGTATTTCTTAGCTACCCACTTACAACTTGGATCCTTCATCTGGTCAAACCTTGGACAAGAGTGTGGCACCTCAATGTTCTTTGCCATAAAGAATGAATGACCATATCTGCTAGCATAGATGTACCACCCACACAGTTGATTACATTCAACACGTTTCTTCATCTTTTCACTCCTAGTCCACCTAATATCAGCACCAATTGTAATACAATTATTTGTAATGGATTTCTTGAATTCTCATTAGTATCGAACCTCGTCCCTGCTGTTAATGTGAGCTTCCTCACAATTCGGGTCATATTGAGACTCTCCATCAAGTGAATTCATTGGAACATTGTCATCAAGGTTTCCTAGTATGTGTCGTGAGTAAACCGAGCCCCTTTAGGATGACCACTGGATGCAATCTTGCTCAACCTCCTCGCCATAGTCATACTCCATATGCTCGTCTTCATGTCCTCCTACGTGCTCGAAAACCTTGATTGACAATGTATCAATGAATTCATCATCCGATGTACGAATATCATCATCCATAAGATGAATGATGTCTTAATTTTGTGAGTTCTTTGCATCGTCATCATCAGCCACGCCAAAAAGTTACTCATATGTTCATCGTCACAAACTTCTATCTCGTTTTTTCATGAAGATCACAATCTTCCATCTTCAATAGCTGGGAGCAGCCTATCCATAACCTGGTATCATATTTTATTTCATGCACCACATTCTCTATAGATGATGATGGGGACATATACCACATACATTCTACCATTGCGTACTCAAAGTTGACAGTTCCAAGTTGTAGGAGCTGGAAGGACATATAGTCCAAGACCATATCCATCCATGTATCGGGGCACACCCTTCTCTTCACCTGATACAAGGCAATCGAAGTCATGTGATAATTTCATTTTCCCGCCATGATGGATTATCAACTCCAGCAACTCCGCCACCCTGGATGGTTATTGTAACATAGTTAGTAGAGTGCAACTCAACAACTCACTCATCCAACATATGTTTTGTCTTCCAGCATACCTACTTCTTAACTTGCCAAAAGGGTAAAAATCGTCTTCACAAAATCCTTGGGGTCCTTGGTGTTCAACCTTTTGCAGCGAATCTTAGACTATTACGCCACATTTGCAGCTTCTTCGTTTAATTTTTCTTTATGGTTCACACTATTGAATTGCTTCTCGACCACTCAATCTCCCTTCAAATACCTCCTTCCCTCTATAACACAGCACGGTTCGCTTCGCACACAAACCCTAGATGTTTTGCGGGAAATCCTCTCTCCCAACTACAACTGCTTCTGCTTACAAGGGGATTATGTAACCCTCCCACAATAGTGAAACAAAAACTCTGAAGATCTCTCGTGATGATTGTGGATAGAATTTACGACGACAATTGCAACTCGTGCTTGGTCAGACGAAGAAGATGGAGCCACCATCGACGAAGGACCAATGCTTGTGCCCGCGTTCTGGGTTGCGGAAAGCCTCGCCCGCGTCGAATGCAACCCCCAATGCTTATTGCAAATGAGAACGGGGGATTGGATGTATGGAGACGGGTTAGGGTTCTTCATTCCTAACTTATTTCTCTCTTCGAAGAGATGAATGAGAGATTTATTGAAACCGAAAGACTTAGCCCTCGGTTAATGGATTTTTTTTTCATTTTACTTTTCCATTTGGTTTTAGTATTAATTGGAAGTGTTGATTTTTCAGTTTAATGAAGCGAAATAATATATTCATAAAAAATGAGAAAAATGATAACAACTAACAGTGAACATTAACGAGAAAAATGTTTGCGTTATGATTGTTATATTAATTACTTTATGATAGAAGTCACGTTTTTAATAGTTCGGATGTCACATTGTTACTCTTTGTTTTTTCAAGGGATGTTATTAGTCAAATATATTTAAACACACTTCCATTTTTACTATTCACTATTGCTTTTATCCAACCGATGCCTATGGGCTTTTACTGATGGCTGATCAGTTTGACAAATACGCAAGTAAACGAGCTGAAATCACCAACCAAAAGTCGCAAAAAATCGTGACTCGGACGAAGATAACACCAATATGCATCCCAAAAACACAGCCCACCCAAGAATGCGACACAGCACCTACCTTAACCAGCAAACTACGTCCCGAAATAGAAACAGAAGAAACCCCACGTCGCCATTCTCACAAACCATGTGCTCTCTCCCACGGGAAAACGCCAATACCTCAACCGTTTCTTCCTCTCCATTCCCACTCCCTCTATATAAACCAACCTCTATTTCCTCTCATTTTCCACTCTCTACTTCTTCTCACCAATCTCATCTCCAGCTATGGATATCCTCTTCTCTCCAAACAAGCTGCGCATGAAACCTTCAGCAACAGTCCAAGTTCCCTCTGCTCATGTGGAGATAACGGCGAGGGCAGGGATACAACAAGTCCCCTGCCGTCGGTCAGCAGGCAACTCCTCTTGAAGCCATCGCCAATGGCTCAAGCCGCTCGTAATGATCATAACCATCATGCTGCCTCCAGAGCACTGGACAGGGATGTCGTCCTGAGACGCATCAGGGACCACAGGAGCTTGCACCGTGTAAAGAGCGCCCTCCTAGCCCTGCAATCGGGGGCTCGACACAGCACGATGTGGGTCGACCCGGCTGACGCCTTCTCCTCTCCTTGAAGTTTATAGAGTAGGGGATATAGAGGATTAGAAGGTGACGACCGGACTTGCGAGTCGATTTGATCTTGTTTGGTTTCTGTCGAATGGCTGCTGGAATGGGAACATGTAGCTTAGTGAAGCTAATGCTTAGTATTTGATCATGTGGGGACAATGGCAATACTAAGTCTGGTCAATGCTTAAATGGCATGTAGCTTCATCAATGGTTATCTCCACTATCAAATTCCAGTAACGATAAGTTTGAAAATTTCAATGCATTTGGAGTTCTCTCGAAACAGGAATGCGTTCAATTTCTCTATCATTACAATTTGAACTTAAACATTCGCATACTTTCCAACAACAAAGCTTCTCGAACTGATGCATCACCAGTAGCAAGTAACAAAATTTCGTGTTTGTATACTTGAAAATAGCCAACAGGACCCTAACACTTCTTCACTAATTCATGGACTATGCATAGTAGATTGATTGCCTTAGCGAAACAAGCAGTAACCTGGTCGACATGGCTGGGAGCAAAGGGCCTCCGAGATGATACACTAGCTTGGTTGATACAACACTTCCCAGAAACCAGATACTTGAATGGATTGCCCTTCAACTCGCTCTAAGCAGGGGGGGAAATGGCACCGTTGGAGAAGAAGCTGAAGCTCAAGCCGCACTTTGTTCTCACTTCTTACTTAACAAGCCAGATGAAGAGATAAAGCGAAGAGCTTGGTTGGAGTTGTTAAGAACAGCTGATGATCTTGAAAGCCGCATCTTGTTCTTCTTTAGAAACTCTAACGAGTTCTGTAAACATGGTGGTGGGGATATCTCAGTCAGAATAACAGTCTGCGGCCTGCAAATAACAACAGTGCAAACCCATTCAACTTACCCTGTATCCTGGAACACAATCTTAAAAAAAGAAAAACAAGAATTCTCTCTTCCATATGTCTTACCCTGAGCCTCTCGCCTTCTTCTTCCTTGGAGGAAGCTTCGCATTTGCACCAGGGGTTTCATCATCAGATTCTGTGGTAAACACTTTCCTGCAAAAAGAGAATTGATGCCCCCTAATAAGAAATTACAACCCTGAACGAAGGCAAAGACTGGGGAAATGGTGGAGTAGAGAGCAATACTTCTCCCGAGCAGCAAGCTGTTGAACAATGTTACTGGGAAGCATCCCTTTCGCAGCCACAGACTCCTCATCCTCCTTGGTTTCAACTGCATCTTGGACGCCTTGTTCTCCCTTTTTGGATGGTCGTGGTGTTTTCCGCTCTGCCCATTTTCTCCTTAGTGCCTTCCCCTCACGAGCAACCCTGATAGCGAAAATTAAATAGCAAGTTTTGAATTACTGAAGTAGCTAAAGCTAAGAAGAGATGCTTGTCACATTTCAGAAGTTCATATTCGAACCTAGCCTCAAATTGAAATGTCTCGGTGGGGAGGAGACAATAGGTTAAGAACTAACCCATCACTCTTCAACTTTTACTTGATTGCCTTGTGATTCTTTATGCTAAAGAAAGAACATCATAATTCCAAACCCTAAGTAACATGCAACATCTGAAAATTCTAGGAACAGAAAGAATCCTGCCACTTTGCTCTACAACGGTGCAACCCATTTCCCATCCTCCAATGTCCATCAATCAGCATCCATTCATTTAGGCAAACCCACAAGGTAAACATAACAGAACAGGTTCATACAGGGAGAAAGTTCCGGATGTTAAAATGCATAAAAAAAGAAAGGAAAATCATACCTTGACTTATTATCCTTCTGAATCTTCCTTATCTCCGCATCTAATTCAATTCCCTGCCCAAAAAACAACGGCCCATTCAGACGCCATTTTTAGACGCGGAGATGGTATTTTGCTCCGAACAGCAGTGAAGGAAAGAAAAAAAAAGAAGCACAGTGTCTGAAGAAGGGGCGAAGGAGAAAGAAACCTGCTCGGCGGTGAACTCCTCCGGTGCGTCTGATTCCGAATCGGAATCTTCTCTGTTCGACATACTGAAATTTCTTTGAAATTTGTCAGTTCGGTTAGTTTCCTACTTTCCTTCGTCGGCGAGGCCTAGGGTTTAAGCAGCAGGAGGACCGAGGGGAAGGTGAAACTGAGAGAAAAGGGTATCAGCTATCAGGTTTATCGGCAAAATGGAGAATCAATTGATTTAGGCTGCCTTAAGACGATTGTTATTTCTATGAAGGCCTGACTTTAAGCCCATAACAAAATCTGAATGATTAAGAGATTGGACCTGAACCTAACTGGCCCACTTATGTCAGTGAATTGGGCCTCGCGTCGATCATCACCGAGAATGAATCTAGATTCGTCCTCAGATCCTTTGTTGTCAAGTGTGCATGCCATCAAGGTACCGGGTGACGTCTCATTGCTTTGATCATTTCGGAATTTATCGAATGATTTAGAGAGGTAAAGATGTTAACTCTTATGGCCGCAAATGAGCCGAACTGTTCACGAGCGGTTTGGCGTTCGACTCGAGAACAGCTCGTTCGAAACTCGGCTCATTAATAAATGAGCCGAACATGAGCTAAGCTTTGTTCAGCTCGTGAAGTTCGCGAGCTAGCTCGACTCGGTGGCTTGTTGAGCAAAACTTGCGAGCTGGCTCTTTTAGAGCTCATGATATGTCTCAACATATGGCTAGAGAGCCAACTCGATTACCGACTTACGGACGAATCAATCTATATTTTGTGATTTTAATTCATTTGGTTGTTAAATTATATATCTCACCATATATAAAGTTTAACACGTTGAGTATGTGAGCAAATACATATTATTTTCTACTTTAAGAAGAAATTATGTATCTTCGATACTATGAAATAACATGATTTGGAGTAGTTAAAATTTAGGCAAAATACAGTTCCATAGCCAAAACTTTCACGTTTGTGCCAATAATAGCCACATTTGGCGAAATACCACTTATAGCCACCTCCGTCCAATTCTTTAAAGCTGTTAACGTTAAGTGTGACTGGGTAAACGGAGCAGCTTACGTGGACCGCCAGTGATTTCCACGTGGCGAATAATTAAAAAAAAAATACAAAACACGAAATAGCCTACCCACCGACCATTTGGTCGACTTTTCCATCTTACCTTATCTTCTTTCTCTGAAACCACCCACCCATCTTCCTTCGAAAGGCGACGAGCACGAAGCACCACGAAGACCATCTTCCTCCGACGCCCCACCTCCGACGCCCCCCCTCCAACGAACCCCCTCCGACGAACCCCTTATTCCTTCCGCCACCATCAATCTAGACCCTTCTCATCTCCAATCTCGATTTTCCTCGATAATCCGAAAGTGAACCTACCGCCTCCTTCCTCGAGAAACATAACATAGAATGGGTTGACTAATCGACGCCGAGCTTTGGCCGAATCTTTCTAAGCTTCTTCTCTTCTGCATGCTTAGGAGGAAAGTGGGAATCGACCGATTGTACTCTGAAACCCTAATCTTCCCTCGAAGCCGATTTGTCCTCTCCCTCGTCAGTCGCGACTAGTAAGGAAACTTTCTTGGTTCTTTATTGTGGGTTTGATAGCTGCAATTGAATTCTGAAAGCTTGTCGAAAGGTTCTTATAGTTTCATCTTTTTTGGTTGGTAGCGAGAGAGGTACAGGACAGAGACATCTAGGGACAGAGACATCTTTTTTGAAGTGCTGGGCAGGAGAAATCGCGAAAGGAGAAGGAGAGGGTTGCGTCGCAATCGTCGTCGTTGCGAGTCGGAACAGAATCGATCGGAATCGGAATCGCGGAGGGGAGTGAGGATTCGATCAGAAGGGAGTAGAGGATTCGTGGAGAGTGGAATTTGGGGGAAGAACCCTAATTCCGAAATAGGAATCGATTAGTATAGGAATCGGGGAGAGTGGAAAGTTGAGGATTCGGGGAGAAGAGTCGAAATTTGAAGTTTGGGAGAGGAACCCTAATTTTTGTATCGGGCAAAAATAGGGGCTGAAGGATTGGTTTCGATGGAAATGGAATATATAGTCTGATTTTTTTTTAATAATGTAATATATAAGTTTTTATTTTTAATAAATGAATATATGACGTGTCAAGATGACGTGTCAAGACTTGCTTAGTTGGCGCTGACGTGGAAGTGTTCTTCTCGCCTAATCAGCAAACCGTCTGCTTATTTGACGGTGTTAGTAACGCCGTCAATGTTTCTAACGGAAAAGGCTATATTTGTCCAACAACATTTTCAAAAGGTGGCTATAAATGGTATTTTGCCAAATGTGGCTATTATTGGCACAAACGTGAAAGTTTTGGCTATGGAACTGTATTTAGCCTAAAATTTATTAACTAAATGATACATGATACCAACAAAGTATCATATGAGATTAGCTAACAAAATAAATCATATGTATCATGCTATACAAAATGAAGTGCCAAATAAAAGTCAAGATTTTATTAAACAAGCTAGCTCGAGCTCGACTCGACTCAGCTCATTAATAAACGAGCCGAGCTCGTCAAGTTTTACCCCAGTTTGAGCTCGACTCGTTTATTAACGAGCCGAGCTCAAGCTGGGGTAAAACTCGACTCGGCTCGGCTCATTTGCCGCCCCTGAGTCTTGACCAAGAAGGGAAGCATTGGGAGCAAGAGGTTGTTTGTTCCGGAGAGGAACCAGGCGGAGCATTTGCGTTCACTGGAGGAAGAAGTGAAAGATAGCTCCCCTGTTTCGGGGCAGGATCCTTGGTTCAGTGAACACAGTTCGCCTTCATCGAACAGCTTATTGATTTAATGCAGTATAGTGATGTTGAGTGCTTGGCTCTATGTACATCCCATCTTCCTGTGAATACAATTGTGGTATAGAATAGATTACTAGTGTGGGCCCGGCCAGTTGGCCGGAGGAAGGTGAGGTATGAAATTTGATAATATAATGGAGTGTATAACTTATTGTTGTATAGTTTTTTTTTTTTTTTTGGAAATTCGTGATAAAAATAGTGAATTTTATCAGGTAAGAGACATGAATGATGCAATGAATAAAAAATCGGCCTTATGAACCAAAATCAAGTACATGTTACCTTGTGAAACAATATAGTTTCTGGTAATATGAAGAGGTGGAGTAAGTTTTATAGAAACCGAATTCTAGAAAATCGAATAAAAAATCGCCTATCCCGTCGGTTTTCGGGAAATGAGCATCTCACAATCGTTGCTAGCTTTTACTCGGCCCGTTGGTCGATTAATTTGCTTTATAAAACTTTCATCTTGTCGTCATTGTGATTTCTGGTTTTTGTTAGGCCATGATAAAATCTAAGTAAATCAAGAACGAATAACACAATTTGGGATAGGAACCGCCGTTGTCGTATCCTAGAAAATGGTGGTAAACACAGACTCACCTGCCAAACTGCTTGGATTGAGATTTTTATCGGGTATCAGGGAACCATGTGATTATAAATTAGACTTGATCAAAACGGGCCACAACTTGAAATTCAGCATGTTTGACCGACCCATGCCAAATTCTAATTATTATTTACTTTTAAACTTTCTATTTGAAAATAAAAAATAGTAAAAGAAAAGAGATGACTGCAATTCGCCATTTGCACATCACTTATTCGAGAATAAAACCATAAAAATTCAAAAGGAACTGAAAATATTTAGGATCGTTTTAATGTTTAAAATAACCAAATAGATCGTTCTGTTTAGTTTTTTTTACTAACAAATACCAAACGATTCCCTATAAAATACACTATAATTTGATCATTATGATATCAAATAATTATATGATATATATTTGAAATTAGGGATGGCAATTTCGACCTGACCCGATTTACCCGACCTGTTTGACCTGTTTTGGAGCAGGTCAAACCCGCCCCATAGGCGGGGCGGGGGGGGGGGGGCATGGGTACCTCTCATCGACCCGACCTGCCCTGACCCGCCCCATTCTCGACCCGTTCTTGCCTATATTACATATAATCTTAGTCAAATTACTTAGAATTTTCCTCTTATTACATTATATTTTAGCTATAATAAAGTTGTAAATAAGTGAAAACCTCAATTTCTTCAATAATTTAACTACATTTTATCATATTATGATTTCTTTCTTGGTCTTTTAATGAAAATAACGAATGTTTCTAATGTTTTTCGCATAATTACATACCCAACGGGTCGACCTGCCCCTACCCGCGCCCCGTGATAAATTACTCGACCTGGACCCGACCTACCATGGGGCGGGTATGGGTATCGAGATACCCGCCCCGGACCTGCCCTATTGTCATTCCTACTTGAAATGATAAAAATTGGACTAATTGGGTTGGTCGAGGTTGAACCATTGAATAACTTTAAAATACATTATATTTTAGCCACTAAGATATAAAATAATAGCATAATATGTATTATGCCAGAGAAAATAGCTTGTTTTAGAATGACAAACCAATGATGTTCATTTGTTTTACTTGATGGCCAAATCCCATGTAGGTCAGACCCATTTAACTCTTTTATTTTAAGTTTAGCGGTTAGTCCATTAGATACCATGCATTAGTTTATTGTTAAATTTTTTATTTTTAGCAATAAAAATGAGTATTGTTTTTGCCTTTTCATATATATTTTATCACCAGGGAGAAATAAAAGGGCTTAAAGAAAAAAATTGACACTCTTGGACCCGTTTAAATTCGCATGTGTACGGTAAGTTGGCCCGTTCCACAGAGGAAAGAGAAAAAAATTGACACTCCTTATTCTACCCTTCCTACAAACGCTCATGGAACAGGGAATTTGAAATGAGGGAAGGGTTTTTTCCTCCCTGCTATTATATGTTTTTAATTTAAAAAGATACAACAAATGTACTTAATGTGATTGGTTATGATCCTTGTTTTTTTTTAAAATGGTCATGGTTCGAATCCCACGGCAGACCCTCAATATATATAGAGATGGATAGATACTGTACTGTAATTGAAAACCTAAGATGAAGTTCATTTTGTTGTTCTTGTTCTCCTCTCATAATCGTGATGAAACCGAACGGGCTAATATCCCATTTGGATGGGTCCAACATTTTACAAGAAGTGTCTCTACATAACGACACTGCATCTAGAACAGCAAAACTGGAATCTGTAGGCTTCAAGCCTCGACTCTGTCTTCCTTAAAGAAAAAACGCAGCAAGGAACCACTGATAAGCCGATTTCAAACGCTGTAAACTGCAATGTATATTCACAATCAAGTTCACATGAGGTAGGCATCATTCAAAGCATATGGCTTCATCGGTATACATGGAAGTTAACGATAGTGTCAACTGTGAATTACCAAACATGTTTTTTTTTTCAAATGGAGATGCAGAAACTGCACTTCCAATCCAGTCAACCATGGCTTCTAGGATCAGTAACCGGGCGAGGTTTCCTTGATTCTGCTTTCGAGAACTGCCCAACCACGCGAGCATGGGGCACGGTTGCCTCCCCTTTAGCAAGCGCCTCGACATTGTCCATGAGGTACCGCCTCGGCAGCCTCCCAACCACATTGCCTTCTTCGTTCCCATCTCTGTCGAGGAACGCGAAATGTGGGATCCCCTCGACTCCAAACTCATCCAGCTCTTGCTCCCACTTCGTGTTGTCCACATTCAGCATCACAAAATTCACTTGCCCTCTACACACAACACGGAAAGCACAAAGCAATTTTGATACTCAAAACGCAAAACCGAAAAAGCTCATGATCTAACTTCTAAGAATCTCAAACCATAAAGAGATTCGCTTTACTTGTACTGCTGCTCGACTTTGTACACATCTGGGGCTAACTCTCTGCAAACCTCGCACCAATCTGCATAGAACTCCACCACCGTCGGCTTCCCATTTGATAGAGCCTGCAAAAGAACACAGCACAAGAACATGTAATTGTTATCCTCATAGATTTACTATCACTATTCACTATCAGCAGAGTCTTGCCATTCAAATGCTCGAAAATTAGCTTCCTGATTGGGGATTGGCAGACGAACCTACCTCTTCATAAGGCAATGCAGCGGCGGATAAATCTTTCAGGGAAACCCCAAAATCCAGCCGCCCCGAAACGAAAAGGCCGACGCCGAAGAGCCCTGAACCAACTGCTATCCTTCGATTCAGATTCCTTGTCGGGAATTCGGGGAGACCAGCTGAATCAGAAGACGAACTCGTCGTCTCGCCGGCGGCGCTGTCCGTCCCCAAACTAGCAGGCTCCTTTTCCTGCAGTTGTTGAACAGAATGAATCACAATCTTAACTCAAGATAACGAAGAAGCATACGGAAAACGCAGCGCGCACCTCGACGGTGGAGCTCTCAGCCGGGGAGTTGGGTTTGGTTTGGCATGCTACGACGGGGAAGCGTCTACGGGATTCATCCCGGCAACGGAAAAAGGCTCTGATAGGCGGCGGCGGCGGGGATTCGGCGGTGTGGAAATGTGGCCGGAATGTGTGGATGGAGTTCGAGGCCACATGAGCCATTTTGCAGATAATATTCAGTGCCAAACAAACAAACAAAAAGTTCTTTTCCCTTTTGTAGGAAGAGGGTTTATCTTTCCGCGCTTAATCACTCGCGAATTAAGGGCGTGTTTGGCTTTTCGCCACTTAATAAAAATGGATTTTCCACGTGTATGGCTTACAGCTCTCGTCGTAGACGATTTATGAATTTCTCCTTTTTCATTATTGGTCCAAGCCAAACACGAACGAAATCTTAATCTACAGAGAAGGAAAAAAATTACAGGGGAAAAATCAATTGAGGGGAAGCAATTTCAGCTCGGCAAGATTTTCAGGCTTCCGGCCCCAAAATCCCGTTGACGACGGAGGTAGCCACGAGAACGGCGATGGCCTCCGCTCCGACGACGGCACCGGCCTGCGCGAGTCCGCCGAAGCTCACCGCTTCCTCGACCCCTCTTTCTGCGCTCTCGATTCCTTTCTCCGCCGTCACGAGCCCTCTCTCCACCGACTCTATGCCTTTCTCGGCCGTCTCGAGCCCCTTCTCCGCCGTCTCGAAGCCTTCCTTCACCAGCAGCTCCGCTTCCTCTTCCGCTTTCTTCAACTTCCTCTTCAGTCCGAACAGCGGGATGTCCTGCGCTCTGGAAATCGATTCTTTCATCGACAGCGCCGGAGCCGCCGTCATTAGAAATAGTAGGTTTCTCCGGGTGCTGAGGGAGACGGGAGAGGATTTCGACGCCGGCGCATTTCGTGGTAGGATTGCTCGGATGACGGAGGATTGCGCCGCCGTGGCAGCCATTGATTTAACTTGAGGTTGAAAATGAACTTGATTCTTCCCATCCAGAAACGGGAGCGAATTTCTTTATACTTGGCGCTCTGTTGGTCAAATTACCATTATATCCCGCAGAAGCTGATCCAACTTCCAAGTAGCTGCTAGGAGCCTGGAGGGCAGATCTGGTATTTGGATCTATAAATCGGCGTCGTTTCACGATTTGGAGCTGCGGGGTTTCCGTTTTTGTATGCAAACCCTCAAACCCTTTTCTTTTTTCCCTCTCGAAATCTTCTTCTTTTTGCATTTCTTTCTCGAAATCAATGGCGGAAGAAGAAGCAACGGCGTCCGAGTCCTCGGTGACGATGGCTGAGCAGGCCGCCGCGGCAGCGGAGACTGCGCCGATTGAATCTCAAACTTCGATCGAGGCCACCATCGAATCGTACGCTCTTGGAGGTGCGGAATCCACTTGCAACAACAACGAGAATGAGGCCAAGAGCGGCGATGGGGGCGAAGAGATGTCACTGGAGTTCGCGGAAGAGTTGACGGAGAAAGGAACCAAGGCTCTAAAGGAAAATGAATTCGAGGACGCTGTCGAGTGCTTCAGCCGCGCCCTAGAAATCAGGTTAGGGTTTTTGAATTTTGTACAAATTTACTACTTCGCTCGAGTTAACCACTTCTTGGTGTTAGTTGTTGATTGTAGCAGTAGGTGAACAGAATTGTTGAAACTTGGAGCTTCACCCTGTGTAAAAATTAGCTAGCCGATGAAATGAGAAGTGCTGATGCGTCTCACTTATAAACGCATAGTCCATTGAAAGTAGCTTCTGCTTCTGGAAATTTATAGGGTTAAGCATTTCGGTGAACTTGCTCCTGAATGCATCACTGCATACTACCACTATGGCCGTGCTCTCTTGTATAAAGCTCAAGAGGAGGCTGACCCATTGGGTTCAGTACCGAAGAAGGACAGTGAATCTAAGCAGCCATCTGGTAAAGATGCATCTGTGAAGATTTCATCGAATGGGGAATCTTCTTCAACATCAAGCAAGGTTCAAGAGGATGGCAGGTCCGGTCATCAAAAGGAAGCGACGAACAATGGTTAGTGTGTGTTGCCTTAATAAAAGGTTATTAGCATTGAGGTTATTGTTTCTGGGAAAGGAGTGTGAGATGTTGCAGCACTTTCTTGATCCACCAGGTGTGAAAGAACAGGAAGATGACGAGGAGGAAAGTGATGACGATGAATTGGTTGAAGCTGAAGCTGATGAGGAGGATGAGTCTGATCTTGATTTGTCCTGGAAAATGCTGGATCTTGCGAGAGCAATCGCTGATAAGAATTCTGGTGATACCATCGATAAAGTGGATGTTCTATCAGCTCTAGCTGAAGTTGCCTTAGAGAGAGGTTAGCTGGCCTTCTTCTTTTTTTACTTGAAATTAATGAACATTATCGACCCTTCACATTTTTCGATTTTTCTGGCAAATATATTTCCTTCGTTCGTGGAATCTTGTTGACTTTGGCTATGTTACAGAGGACATTGAAACATCTCTCAGTGATTACCAGACTGCCTTATCCATCTTAGAGCGGCTCGTTGAAACTGACAGTAGGCTTATAGCTGAACTGTATCCTCTCGAATATATCTATTTCCTATCCATTACTAGAATGCCATTTTGTCCTGGATTGCCCATATATTTTCATACTTCTAGCAAGTAGGCAATAAACAACGACCTTGACTATTGCCACCAGAAACTTCCGGATCTGTTTATGTCTGGAAACTGGCTCTAGGGCAGAGGAAGCAGTCCCATATTGTGAGAAAGCTATTTCAGTTTGCAAGTCACGTCTACAGCGTCTCGTTGCTGAAACAAAGAGTTCTTCTGAGTCAGCAGCAACATCAGCTGTTTCAGAAATGGATGAGGGTGTCCAGCAGTCATCTACTGGACCTCTGCCTGACATATCTGTATCAGACAAAGAGGCAGAGATTGAAACACTTACAGGTCTATCTCTGGATCTAGAAAAGAAGGTATGGATGCATCTTTAGTTTTCCATGTGATATTTGTACCATGATGCTGCATTGCTGTTGGTGGAAAATGGATTAGGTTTGAACGGGCTTGTGGGTTTATGGGGATGAGTTTAAATAGGTTTTTGATTGTTGCTAGCAGAAATTTTTTATGTGGTATGGACGGTATTCTGGTCATCTGTGAGGCCTAAAGGCTGTTGGATAAAGTAATAGAAATGATAGCGGTGGATTAGTTTGTTAATTGCCAGAGGAAGTGACCATAAACATGAAAAGTGAAGGGTGCCATATAGTAGTTTCCTGTAGATGGACTGTATTGGCAGAGTAAAAGTTTCTAGGTACTAAATGCAATGCGGTACTAATTGTAGCAATAGTAATTTTTCACAAACCAATCAACCCTACCCAATTGATACTGGTCAAATGAGTTTGGGTTGGATTTCGAGTGGATGGATTGAGTTGGTTTCACTTGGGCCGAGATATTGGTATCTCTATGAATCAGGCATTGATGAATTGACTCTGCGTTTGATTGGTTTGTTGCAGCTCGAAGATCTCCAGCAGCTCGCCGTGAACCCAAAGTCAATTCTTCAAGAGATCCTGGGAATGGCAGCAGCCAGGGCCAGAGGCGACGATCAGAAGACTGGTTCTCCGGGTTTAGTGAGCTCTTCTTCACGGTTTGCAACAAATAGAAGTGCTGGCGAGTCGGAGTCCCCTACTGTCTCGACTGCTCATACAAATGGAGATGGTGGTGGTGTCACTCACCTGGGTGTTGTTGGGAGAGGAGTGAAGCGCATGTTGATGGCCCCGATCAGCCCAGCAAAGAAACACGCTGTTGAGGCATCGACAGACGGAGCAGAGGGGGATGATGATGCCAAAGCTTCTTGAATGTCCGGTTTGAATCTCGATCGTTGGACCTTTTTTAACTATATTGGGAGCTCACTATAGATAGTCTTATGAGGATGGAAAGAGGACTTAGCTACATCGTTTCTGCACGTGACCTTAGTTTTTACTCCCCCTGTGTCCTGTGATATGTAGTAGGATTGTGTTGCTCAAACTGATTATCTAGTGTTTTAGGGCAACTTGCTCCAAACCAAATTATCCACCCTAACTTTCAAATCAATTCGAAACAATGAGTATTGAGATATCTGTTATGTCCGATTCGAGCCTTGTTCATCGACATAGAAAGTTCCGCTGCAACTTCTCCCACATCGAGCTCGACTATGTCGGATGATGCTAACTATGAACCACCTCTTTTTTGCCACGTAAATACAAGGCGAAAAATCTTGTTATGACTGGGAATGAAGAAAGCGTGGAAGCAAAGGAAGAAGTGATCCAAAGAATTTTTCCTTTTCCTCTTTGAGATAGATCGATAGATAGGATTTGGAGATGTGTTATAAGGTAGAAAGGCAGCCACTGCCCACTGCATGTGCCGCTCGTGGCCTGGCGTATTCGTTGTTTTCCACTTCCCACCTCCCCTTCGCTTCAACAACTACCTACCTAACCACCAGAAAGATGCCCACCAACCGCCGCCGCCACCGCCACCCACGGCGGACACCGCCTCTGCCTCCGCCGCTCCAGCCACCGTAGGTTCGTTGTGTGTATGTGTGTTTAATTGTATATGCTATAATCGAATTTCGGCCACGAATAAGTTCTAACAGTGGACATTGAATAAGTTTTTCCTGATTAGTTGAAAAATGAAAATTAATGTTTTACTGGGGTTAAAAGAATTATATAAAAAGTTGAAATAAGAGGATAGGTATAAGTAGATTTTGAGATAAACCAAAATCTGAATTGTGGAGAACAATTGCGGGAGAAGAATCAAGAAGAAGAATAAAAAAAAGGAATGGAATTGATCGCTATATTTACAAATCGCGATAATATGACGCTAATTCATTAGTAAAATAAGAATTTGGGAGAAAAATAGAGTCCGCAAAATATAAATAAATAGAGTCCATAAAAAAATAGGTCGTGATATATGATAAACTTTCACTTCTTTTCCACCTCCGGATATTTCCAAAGAGTAGTATTAGATTAAAATGTTATATCATTTGATAGCGGATCAATGAATTATTGTTATTTAGTCGAGCTAGATTTGAACCAGTGTAGGCATAACTGTGTGAATTGAATAATAACCATTTCAAGCGTATCGAGACATATTAGAGATGATATATTAGAAATTACCACTAATTACGACAAATCCTACCACAATGACAAGAATTATGTGGTTGGTGCACTATGCACCAGTTGCTTTCCCAGTTTTGTACGCCGATGGTTAAGTATAGATTATAGAAACACTAGTATTTAGATAATGCTTTAGATTCTGACAGCATCTATACTGTCTGTGAGTATACCTACTGCTATTTTGGCCATATGGTGTTAGTACCTGCTACGTTACGTTTAATAAATAAATAAAAACTGGTAAGCCATAATATCTTGTTGATAGATCTCTTAATAATTAAATTTTGATTCCATTTGGTAATTAATTCTTAATGTTGTTTAATTAATTTCGGCCGTTTGTTAAATATGACTCTTTTTCCCCCTAGTTATATTGGAACAGGCTCGGCTGGGGAAAATGTTAAAATAGCTTAGAAGAGGGGGAGGCTGTCGTTTTATGAGGCAGTGGAAGTTTCTGAGAGAATGATTTTTTTTTTTTTTTTTTAAGAAGAACTAGTGTTGATCGTTGGAACTTGGAAGAACAAACAAACGGCAAATCATGTAAGAAGGATGGGAGGAAATTTGTGGTCAATTTCTAACTAACCAAACCCATTAATTTCCTCTCTTTTTGTTCAATGTTTTCTGGTCTTGTACTTTTTGCAATGTGGAAAATTCCCATGGTTTCTTGGAGTTTGGATTGAGCCAATAAAAAAACATTTGGTAACCTGATTTGTAAAATATGTGGGTAAAATATCTCGGGTACCACTTAAATTTGAGAATTGGGGTAGACATACTACTTAAATTTGAATAGGACGTCGGGTACCATTAAAGTTATCAAAATATGCATCCGTCTAGTTTTTCATCCAACCCAAATTTTTAATTACTTTTTGGTACCCAAAACTATTAAAATCATCCAATACTATATTTCAACAAGTTTTATCTAATATAAAAATTAGAATACCTTCTAAACATAGTAATACTAGAATGACTAATCAATGTTTTTTTTTTAATAAAATAGATAAATTAGTAAAAATGATAAACGAATATCAAGAATAATAATAAATATACTAAAAAATAATAATCAATATTTAAAATCACTATTAGAAGATCTATTTAAACCCTTAATTCAATTAGAAGCACCAGTAGAAATAGTTAAAATAGAACGAAAAGAGACGGAAAGTACCAATTAGTAAATAAACTATAAAAACAACAACATTTAGTAATAATATAGAAAAGAAAATATGATTATAGAAAGAGAATTAGAATTAGTAAATTTAACTAATGTGGAACATCTACAATATAATATTAGAAAATTAAAAGAAGATTTAACATGGAAAATTAGCAACATCAACATGAAATGTAAGAGAACTAAATATAACATTCTCAGATTATTTATATTGAGATAGAAGTCATAGCATATATTTGCTTCAGGGAATTATTCAATTATTAGAACACATAATGATAATTGGTTCTAAATTTCTTATTCAAAAATTGATTTGGTATTAGAGTCTTCAAAAGATGATTCCAACTAAACAAAATTCATAGAATATATTTGCTTAATGAAATAATTTAATTATTAGAACACATAATGATAATTTAAAATACTTATAATAATAATTGATTCTAAAAATTTCTATTAAAAATTGGTTTAGTATCAAGTCTTCAAGAGATGATTCCAGCTAAACAATAAAAAATGATATTTTTCATAAGTCCAAATGAATTTCTTACAATAAAGAAAAGCACAAGGACCCATTATGAAATTTAGAAAACGGAATATTTCAAGAATATTCTGTCAACTTTAACGGAATGCACTTGACAGTAAACTTAAGTGGTGCCGGGTACACATATAATAGAGTTCAGTGGTACGCGATGCCCTATTCTTAGTTAAGTAGTATAGCTCCCCCAATTCTCATATATACTTTGGTACCCGCAGTATTTTATGTTTAGAACCACCTGATTTTCTAGTTGTTATTCATATATTTATTTTACATTTCTACATATTATTTCAAACGAAAATCAATTCACAAGTGGAGAATTGCGCAGACATGAATATGAGCTATATTGGTCAACACACTCTGATTATTGACCCACTTACCATAGTTGAAGTCTGTCAAAAGATTGCTCTGAAACAATTGGCTCGAACTTGAGAGTGATTAAGCAAAAATGGTGATGTTTCAGATATTGTATCTTCGCCTGAAATGAGTTAATCTTTGTTTCTAGAACAAATTTCGTTCGATATGTTGAGCGATTGAGTTTTTTCTTGAATCATTTTTAGGGACAAAGAAAAACTTAAATTTTCAATTATACATGTTATCATTTTTACCAAGAGCTAAAATTTCGTGCCCAGCAAAGAAAGAACTTCAGTGGCATAAACAAAAATTTGGGCAATGGAAATTCAAATTCTGCTACTTGTGGGGACTAACAATCTTATTTTTTAACCTGCAACTAACAATATTATTTTTTAATCCCAACCTAAAGAAGCGCATTGTTGTTAAACAATAAAAAGATCGAATGGGACCAAATGTTTGGTGACTAAAACTGTCGTATGCTTTGTCTGAACACTGAAAACCTTATCCTCAAAAGAAATGTTATTGGATAATTATTTCATAAACCACTCTTCCCTACTCCTAATGTTCTATTGCATCAGCGCTTAATAATGCAACAGAAAATCATTGTTTAAACCAAGAGGTTGCATTCTTGTTATTAATTCCTTAGAATTATAGGTTTTGTTTGGACAATAGCATATGAGAGAGGTTTAGCATCCCATCTTTTTACCCAAAAAAAAAAAAAAGAATATGAAAGAGGTGAGTTGAAATGAAAGAACCTTGGCGAGTTCTATGAGAATACGTTAGGGTGGCAACTAGAATACTCGTGTGTTTATGCTTTCTTTGATTGTTTGAGATTTTCACATGGTATCAGAGCCTCCTCCTACTTATCTCTGAGCCTTCTTCGTGATCGGGTTCTCTCGTCAGCTTCAGGTCGTGCCCTCGTACTCTCGTCTTTGCTATTGTGATTTCGTGCCCCAACCCTCTTTGTTCTCGGGTGATTGGCTGTCTTGCTCTTGCTTTTGGCTGCGTGTGTGCTATTGCTCTTGTGGATCGTGTGTATTGCTGCGGCGCTGGGATTTATTGATTTCTTGTACCGCTGCGGATCTGTGCTGCGCTGGGATTTTTGTGCGCTTTGGCTGGGAATTCTGCTCCGCCTGCTGTTCTTGTACGGCTGCGGGTCTGTGCTGCGCTGGGATTTTTGTGCGCTTTGGCTGGGGATTATGCTCCGCCTGCTGTGTTCTATGTCGGCTAGTCAGTGGTTGTCTTTGGGGTGTTTCTCTTTGCTTCATTATGGACATCAGCAAGGGTGATGCTTTTTCAATTCGCTTCACTGGTAAGAACTTATCCCTATGGGCCTTTCAATTTAAGCTCCATGTCCAAGGCCGCAAACTTTTGTCTTTTCTCTATGGCTCGGCAAAAGAGTCGGCTGCTGATGCTACAGATAAGGTTTGGGACGATTGGGCTGTTTTCAATGTGGCGGTTATGTCTTGCTTTCTTGGCTCCATGGATCCGGGTATTGCTCCAAGTCTACGGGGGTTTAATACAACTGCGGAAATCTGGCAGCATCTCAACAATCTCTACTCGAAGCCTACTACTCTCGGAAGTTTGACATTGAGTGCGATCTTGGCCATTTGACTCAAGGAGATTCTGATATAAGCACGTACCATCAAAATGTTGTTACTCTCTGGACCGAGCATGATCACTTGACTAGCTCTCTCTTGCCTAGTTCGGCGTCGACGAAAGTCATTCGTGAGTGCACCAACACTCGTATTATGCAATTTTTGATGAATTTACGTCCTGAGTTGGTGATTAGCGGAGATGATGTCTCATAGTTCTCTTCATCTATGTTGCTCGCGGTCTCACAGTTCTCTTGATCTATGTTGACGATATGGTGATTAGCGGAGATGATGTCGAAGGAATTCAAGATATAACTCAGACTCCGCGATCTGCGTTTAATTTGAAGGAATTAGGTGATCTTTCTTGCTTTTTGGGACTTGAGATTCATCGTTCTCCTGCTGGTATTCAAGTTGGTCAGCGAAAGTATGTACTTGATTTACTCGAAGAGGCGCAGATGGATGAGTGTACTCCTTGTGATACTCCCATGGAAAAAAATCTCAAGCTTCGACAGGGGGATGGTGATTTATTGTCTAATGGCTCACTATATCGTAGTAAAGTAGGTAGCTTGATCTACTTGACTCACACACGCCCGGATATTCATATGTTGTACAGGTTGTGAGTCAGTTTATGTCTGCACCACGTACTACTCACTAGATTGCAGTTCAACGCATTCTTTGCTATCTCCACAGCAGTCAGGAGGTCGGTTTGCTGTTTCCTTCAGGTGGTGAGGCTGTGATGGATGCGTATGTTGATGCAGACTATGCTGGTTGTCATGATACACGACGTTCGACTTCTGGGTGGTGCGTCAAAGTGGGTCACTCCTTTATTTCATGGCGGTGTAAGAAGCATGATTGTGTTTCAAAGTCGTCCACAGAGGCCGAATACCGTTCCATGAGTGAGGTTGCTTCTGAGATCACATGGTTGTGTCGACTATTGGCCGAGCTAGGAGTAAAGATTGCTACTCATGTTCGGTTGTTTGTTGACAACACCAGTGCTATTCGTATTGCTACAAATCCGGTCTTACATGATAGGACCAAGCACATAAAGGTTCACGTTCACTATATTCGACAGCTGGTGACAGAGGGCTCTGTGGAGTTAGCATATATTATGTCAGAGGATCAAACATTAGATTTGTTGACTAAAGCAGTGTCTTCGTCACGTCATTGGTTTCTAGCACACAAATTGATGTTGCGTCAGCACCATCAATTTAAGGAAGGATGTTATAAGTTAGGAGTACCTAATTGTAATTAACCTATTTAGGCTTAATACTCGGCCTAGTATATAAGGGTTGTATGGCCGAGTTTTTCATGTAACGTGTACGACAGTAATAATCAAGAACTCTGCCTTGTGTCGTGGACTAGTCTCAATGATCATCATCGTTAAGGAAACCACGTAAATCTGGTGTCGTGCATTTATGCTTTCTTTGATTGATCGAGATTTTGACATATCTAATACTTCATTTTGCAAGGTTCAATTAGCTGGCTCACTGACAAAATAAACCCTCAGCAAGCATCAAAGGTAATTCAAAATCTAGCCGACACTATCTCTTATGTAGTGATCTCCCTCTATTTTAGTTTTTTTTCTTTGTTAGTAATTTAGAATTGTTCACACTTAAACCATCAACCATTCTGTTTGACTAGATAAAAGGTCGAGGCCTAGAGTAGTAATAGATCTTGAGGACCCTAGGAATACGACATCGGTCACCACTATACTACTTTGTCGATCTAGGGTGCGCTTGTCATAGATTGGGGTAGTTATTACTGTCGACGATTGAGTTTATAAATGTAAATCTCGATACTGCGACGCATTACCTAAACTCTAGACTAAACACAAACCTCGATATCCTAAACCCTAAAATATACTCTGATCCTTAAAGCTTGAAACCTACAACCTAAACGGTTAACCTTTATCCAAATTCATTCTAAAATTTTGTTCAAAATCATACTAGAAAAATATATAACATGTTACTAACAGTTAGATGAGTAGGTAAGGTGAAACCGGATTAGGCACAGAAGTGGGACGATCAAGTCAGATGCTAGCTTCTTTCTGCCAGCTCTAGGTCTTAGGGAATGTATGTCCGGTATTGCCTCATATAATCAACACTTTTAACTTTGATTGGCTGGTTTTGCATAAATTTCACTAAATTTGAGAGTTAGGTCTCTCTGACTCTTAGAATTAGTCATTCGTTAACGCAATATAGTGAGTTGATGCATCTTGTTTAGAATTAGGTTTCAGGATTACCATATGGATAAGATTTTATTTATTAAGGTTTACTAACTCATTGATTGTTTATTTATTTTCATGCTTTTTAGTAATCACCATTCTTATGTTTATTATTTCTCCTTCAGGCATCATCAATGTCTCCATCGAGTTATCATCTAACATGCTTGATAAAACTCTACATAACCAAAAATCAAGTAAGTTTCACAGCAAATCATGATAGCAAACTCCTTAATTTTTTTGTACAAAAAGAATGATATTTGACATAAGGTCAATGTATGTCCTATTCACATGTTCGTTAGTCAACAACCCTCTTATCACTCTTCCAAATGTTGTCCACTTGGGTGTAATAATTATAAGCGACCAAAAACAACAATGTGAATGTGAAGAAGAGGAAATGATCCCAATTGTCTATCTAACCATTAAGTCCACACCCTTTAATCATTCCCACTTTTCCTTCCTCACCTCGTAGTAGAGAAATCATCCCATTGCATATGGAAGCTTCATCCATGGCTAAGACAATAACCAAATTGGATGGCTTTGCTTGTCGTTTTTTCCCCATCGTCATCATCTTCTTCTCCTAGTCCCCCATTTGCCTATCTTTCTCACATCACCATCAAAACTCCTTTCCTCATGACAACAAAAAGAGTTTAGAAATTAGAAGTTCCAACTATTCAAGGAAATTCTAAAATCAGGGTTGTTAAGGGCAAATGAAGATTTGTCGTACTCGTATGGTTGATGATGAACCATTAATTAGTGACTGAAAGGTAGTTTAGTATTTTTTTATGTTTATTATTGTTTAGAATATGAGTTTATATAATGTATTTTAGCTATTTTCATCGTATTATTGTTTTGAGTATAAGTACGAACGAAATTCGAATTAGTTAAACGAAGATAATGAATACGACCGGTACTAATCCGAGACCCTGTCATCCCTAATCATTCAAACATGTAGGTCACCTACAAATCAATGGAGAGGAAAAAGAATTCATGTTGTGGTTTTGGTTTGAAATAGGGATGGCAATTTCGACCTGACCCGTTTTACCCGACCTGTTTGACCTGTTTTGGGGCGGGTCCGACCCGCCCCGTAGGCGGGGCGGGGCGGGCATGGGTAGTCTTATCGACCCGACCTGCCCTGACCCGCCCCATTCTCGACCCGTTCTTGTCTAAATTACATGTAATTTTAGTCAAATAACTTAGGATTTTCCTTTTATTGCATCATATTTTAGCTATAAGAAAGTTGTAAATTAGTGAAAACCTCAATTTCTCCAATAATTTAACTACAATTATCATAATATTGTTTGTTTTCTTAGTCTTATAATAAAAATAACGAATATTTCTAATGTTTTTAATATAAATTGCATACCCATTGGGTCGACCTGCCCCGACCCGCGACCCGTGATCAATTACCCGACCTGGACCCGACCTGCCACGGGGCGGGTCTGGGTACCAAGAAACCCGCCCCGGACCTGCCCCATTGCCATTCCTAGTTTGAAAGTTGTGGGGGGACAAGGGGGAATTGAAGGGCGGTACCATTGGTAGATCTCTCGTGCAATTTCTGTCACCTCATTCAATTTTGCCATCAATGCATGGCAAGGGAAGGTAAAGGATGGTAGATATGCTCCCATTTAATGCCCTATGAATTCAAGCAAGCAAGCGCCCTAGAGTGTTTGATTTTCTGACATTCCAAAGGGCTAACAAGTAACAAGGGACCAAGTCACCTAGCCACAAACAATGAAAAACAAATTATTTAAGTTGTAAATTATACAGGAAAAACTTCCATAATTTTCACGGCCAAAATATGTTTACCGAAACTCATACTAACGATGATTCATATTATGAATATTCGAGAAATTTTACACGATTAAAGAGAGAGATGTACCTTACCCCCAATTAGTTAGTGGGCATTTGGTGATAGAGTTTATGCTAACTTTGACCACCATGGACTTTCATAGCCTTCTCAAAGCGTCCCGAAACTTAATTATTTCCCCCAATATCGGTACTTTGGTCAAATTTGACAAGGTTTATTGTCAAATGCATGTCTCAAGAAGCGTAACGAACAATGTTAGCAATAGAATGTAATAAATCGCGCCTTAAGATGTGGAGGATTTAACTGGAGACACACATATAACAACATATGCTATCCAACTCCGATGAACAAGCAATGCCCAACTTCGAAGAAAATACGAATTGTAGGTATTCTTTTGAGAAGCCATCAAGATTCAGGGGACTAAAACTCAAAAAAACGTCAACATTAATCCTTATACTAATACTCCCCCTGATAAATGTGTTTCTGCCTATGAAAATGTGTGTTGCTGTGTGCAATTAATTCTTTCCATTTTCCCGCTACACTTTGCTCAAAAATCAACACATCTCGATTTCGCACATCTCCACTTACTTTCTCCCTCTTGATCCATTCAAATTTCTCGATCAGCAAATCTGGAGCTGAGCTTGCAAACAATTAAGAAAATAGCCATGCTAAAAATTTCTCTAATAACCTTATTTTATTTTTGGTCACTCTCAACGTCTCCCTCTCCTTTGCAACAAATACAATACACACGTATATTTGCTGTTGGAGCCTCACTGTTATCAACTACTCAATCATTCATGATGTTGTGACCCAACTAATCAGTGGACCTGACCTAACCAAGCTTAGCCAGCCAAGAAGAAGGAAATGCCCCCTTCCTTCCTTTTACCCCACTCTTTTTGGTTCACAGTGGTACACCACCAGCAAAGGTAAAAAGAGAAAAAAGGTAAAAAAGATTAAACCCAATTATCACGGAATGATTATAATTGATTAATCAGACTAAGTATCATTACCTACTCGCATGTTAGGTTTAGGTGAATAAAGTAAGGAGAACATCATGCTTCCCGATGCAGTGAGCCAGTCCCATGGGCACACAGTAAAGAGTGTAATAAGACCACCATCTGGAGCTCTGCTGAGACTGAGACCAATTTTGAGTCGAGCCCTGAGAAAAAAGGAGTCAAAAGGTGCCAAATAAATCATAATAATAATTAATTAAGGAAGAACTAATCCAAAAGAATTCCCCCATAATTTGCGCCCAAAAGCAGAATCAAAACGTACTGTATTGCAATTAGGAAATGGGCAATTGGCAGCCAACCCATCTCGTTTCCTTTTATGCACTCACAAGGAAAGGAAAGGAAAACAACAGAAACTTTGCACAAAACAGAGAGCGTAATAAAAACCTTCCCTACCCTTTCCCTTATTAGTTATTCCATACCCACAGCCACAGAGAGAGCTGAGTTTGAGATTCTCTTCTGGATTCAGAGAAGGAGAGAAGAGAGAGCAAAAGGGAAACAAATTTTCGCAAGAGTGGAATGGAAATGATGGCAATTTACCTCCCTTTTTGAATGCCGATCGATCTAGAGAGAGAAAGCGAGACAACCAGCTTTCAGTTTCAGCCTTCCTTCCACTCTTGTCCTCATTTGAGCTGGCCTTCTCACTAATTATTAGCTTGGATTCTCTCCTCCGGAAGCCTCTTCCTTCCTCCCCCTTTTCTTTTTCACTTCTTCATCCCTCTCTTTCTTCCTTGTATGCATCTGGTAGCTTACTAGTTCCACCACAACCCAGAATCCAGAAGGAAGCTTCTCTGGTCCAACAATGGCTGACAAAGAAAAACCCACCACCTCCAAGGGCCAAGCATGGTACTATAACTTGAAAAACTCAACTACCCATTCTTCTTCCTCTTCTTTATCCCTCAACTGATTTTATGGTCTCTCTTCTTCCTCCTCTTTCTGTTTGCAGGTTCTGCACCAGTGGGCTGCCCAGCGACATTGCAGTCGAGGTTGATGATATGAGCTTTCATCTCCACAAGGTCTGTTTCCTTCCCTCTATCTCTCTCAATCCCTTAAAACCCTGCAAAAAATAGACTGACTGAGGATTTCTTTTGTCTGTCGTGCACAGTTCCCTTTGATGTCGAAAAGTCGAAAGCTGCATCAGCTGATAACAGAGCAAGAGACAAATCCTACTAGTACCTCTGCCGCCGCTAACCCCCAAACCTCCTCCACGGAAGAGGACGCCGCCGCGGAAGGGGACGAAATAGAGGAAGTCGAATGCCAGATTTCGCTCCCGGATTTCCCGGGCGGCTCCGAGACCTTCGAAATGGCCGCCAAGTTCTGCTACGGGGTCAAGGTCGACCTCTCTGCCTCCACCGTCGCGCCGCTCCGCTGCGCCGCCGAGGTCCTGGAGATGACGGAGGACTACTCCGAGGCCAATTTGATAGCCAAGACGGAGAAATTCCTCTCCCAGAACGTCCTCAAGAGCCTCAAGGAATCGATTAAAGCCTTGAAGTCTTGCGAGCGAGTGATGCCGCTGGCCGAAACCCTAGGCATCCCGCAGCGCTGCATTGAATCCTTGGCCTCCAGAGCTTCCACCGCCGATCCCGCCCTGTTCGGCTGGCCGGTCGTCGCCACCGACGGCGGTGACAGTAGCAAGAGAGATTCCTCTAATCAAGCTTTGTGGAACGGAATCGAATCCGCTGTCCGCCGCAAAGGCCGATCCTCTTCCTCCGCGGGGGCGGCCGCCGGTTATAACATGGATTCGTGGCTTGAAGATCTCTCGCATCTCACCTTGTCGCTGTTCAATCGACTGATTTCGGCGATGAAGGAGCGAGATCTGAATCCAGAGATCATCGAGAGCTGTCTAATTCATTACGCCAGAAAGCACATTCCGGGGATCACGAGGCAGAGCAGGAAACATCCGCCAGCCGCGGCGGCGGCGACGACAACGATCGCCTCAGAAGGCGAGCAGAGAGAAGCGCTGGAAACAATCGCTTCCAATCTACCTCTTCAAAAAAACTCCAGATCCTCGACGGCGACTCGATTCCTAATCGGCTTGCTGCGAACCGCCAACATCTTGAACGCGTCGCAGTCGTGCCGCTCCGCTCTGGAGAAGAAGATCGGCTCGCAGCTGGAGCAGGCCACGCTCGACGATCTCCTGATCCCAAGCTATTCGTACCTCAACGAGACTCTATACGACGTGGACTGCGTCGAGAGGATCTTATCCTACTTCCTGGACGGAATCGAAGAGGAAGGAGATGGTATAATAACCGCCGACGACGACGATCTTGCACACAGCTCCAGAGCGCCGACGTTGATGCTGGTCGGGAAGCTCATCGACGGTTACCTCGCTGAGATCGCCTCCGATTCCAATCTCAAACCCGACCGATTCTACAAGCTCGCCGTCTCGCTGCCGGACCAGGCCAGACTCTTCGACGACGGCCTCTACAGAGCCGTCGACGTTTATCTCAAGGTAAATTAAAATTTAAAATCGAATTCGCGTGAAACTGAAAAATTTCTTTCAATCCTCTCTGAAAAAACGACGATGAATTGCAGTCGCATCCATGGATATCGGAGACGGAGAGGGAGAAGATCTGCGGGGTGATGGACTGCCAGAAGCTTACTCTGGAGGCGTGCACTCACGCGGCGCAGAACGAGCGGCTGCCGCTCCGCGCGGTGGTTCAGGTTCTGTTCTTCGAGCAGCTGCAGCTCCGGCACGCGATCGCGGGGACGCTGATGGCGGCGGGCGGGGAGCCGGGGAGGCCGTCGGTACAGCGGCGGGATGAGGTGGAAGAGGAGGAGGAAGGCGAAATGGGAGCGGCGTTGGCAAACGGAAGGAGGGGGGAGAAGGGTGGGACCACGTGGAGGGAAGCGGCGAGGGAGAATCAGGTGCTGCGGCTGGACATGGATAGCATGAGGACGCGGGTGCATCAGCTGGAGAGGGAGTGCTCGAGCATGAAGAAGGTGATTGAGAAGATCGGGAAAGATGATGATGATCCGGTGGAAGTGGAGAAGAATGGACGGTCAGGATGGAGAGGAGGGTCGTCGTTGACCAAGAAGTTCGGGTGTAAGTTCAAGACGCAGGTGTGTGATTCTCACGAGCAAGCGGTCGCGGGAAGGACGACGAGGAGAGGGAGGCAGCAACACCATCACCAAGAGTAGACCCTGCCGCAGAGGATTGAAGAACTTTTCCGTTTCCCGGCCATTTCCGTTCCGGTCTTCGTCGTTTCGGGTCTGTGAGTTGACCAGAAACGCCGTTTGTTTAGGGTGTTTTTCTTTTTGTGTGTGTGTATTTTTTTGAGGAGGTTTGGGTGGATGGATGAATTGTTTTGTAAGATAGTGCCACGTCGACATGCCACTCTGCTGCCCTGAGAAAAAGCTGAGAAAAAGAAAAAAGGAAAATAAATTTGTTTATTGATTTTTTATTATTATTTACTTTTATCCTGCTATTAAAAAAGGAAAAGCCGAAGATTCGGTAAAATGGACAAACAACACACGCCTTTTGGAGGAGTGGGGAAATGAGCAAAGAATTAAGGGTCGTTTGGATGGATTTAAATTAGTAAATTTGATCAATTGTCTTGTTTTATAAATGAAACAATTTAAACGAGTCAATTTGAATTACCTGCTCTCACCCAGGTAATTGAAACTCAGGTAATTGAAATTGACTCAAAACGTATCAATCCAAAATACCTCAGGCAGATTGATCCATCCAAATTTTTTGCTGGCAAACGAGGCAATTTGGTACAATTATCTCAAAACGAGACAATTGTGTCAAATTGATCCGTTATAATTTCTCATCTAAACGACCCCATAAAACCTACGTATAACAGGTCCCAATTGTTATAAACTAATCTTCGAGTTTTTCATTCCGTTTATACAAAACGCAAGGATGGTGTACGTGAATTTAGAGAGAATAGGGTTTAGAGACGGAGACCATATGAAGAGGAGATATGGTTTGGAGGACTTGAGGCTTCTTATACAAGAGTATGGACTTTTTTAGAGTTGGTTTAGACACACGGAGAAATGTCTTACGGTGATTCGGATCCATTGATAACGCAGTTGTTTGTCCCATTAGACAAATTTATATCATATTCCAACCGTTTTCAATATAACTAAACACTTGCCGGTTGCCATTATTTGTAAAATTTCGTGCGTGACCAAAAGCAGCAAGATTTGGAGTTTTAGTGTGCTCACACCATCAAATCCTATCCTGAAACATTTTCCTGGCGAGTCTTGCATCTCAAGTACCTCGATCTAGAAATTAGAATCTTGATATCGTACTGTAGAAATGAAATCATTATCAAACAACTACACTTTTTTTTTTAGACAGAACTAATCCAGAGATTAAAAGGCAAGGAAAACGAGACAAATACAAGTGACAAACTGTAGAGTTCGCTTTGTTCAGCGCCAGGAAAGTTAGTGCACAGCACATCTCAATTGAAAAATTTAGAGACACCATTTGGGGACAACTGGGTAGTGGTCCAGTTTAGGGTTCCATGTCGTTCGGACTCTTGCTGTTTGGATTTGGATTTGCGCTGAAAATTTTGGGGGCCCTAACGCTGGTGTGAAGGTGGGATTGCGTTGCAAGCTGATCCAAATGCTCTCTTCCTCTTGTTTGTTTTGGGGGCAGCGTCACGTGGCAACTAGGGTTACTGAGTTTTGTCTTCTCCATTTGTTCCCATATTTGGTTCGGACCTTCAGAGAGAGATTATTCAGAAAGAAACGGTTGTTTTTTTTTTTTGGAAGGTAATGTGCCATTTTCATGGCGGCTGATTGGCTTCATCTGCTGGGGATCTGCTAATAAGTGCGTTGTGACACTTACGTATCGACCAGGAGAGTAGCTGATGGGAAATGGCCAATGGGTGTTTGTTTTGTTTCTTCTTTGCCAAATTTACTTCAATAATAATAATATATTGTGCTCAAGTTGTTAGGCAAGAGTTGCAAATTAGAATTAGTTAAGGGAGTTAAATGCAAATATTTGTTTGAGTAGTTTGGACTTGTAGACAATTTGCTTCTCCACACGGTGGAGGACTTAGAAGTCTTTGCGAGCGACTTCACTCACAAGACTCAAGTCAAGACTCAAGACCATATGTATGAGTACGTAGTGGAGCTCTATCCAACTTTTCTTTTCCCGTCTACCAAAGTAGTAAACCCAATAAGTTGCTCGAATATTCCACGATGGAATCGCTGTTTTTGGGAAGAAACAATCTTACATCGACAAATGCAAACCAAATGGCCCCTAAATCTGCATTCTATCAGCTGTCCTTGATATCCTGCAACATTTCTTCTGATGGAATCCCTATCTGGTTGGCGAACCAAACTGATCTCGCAGTTCTCGACTTGAGCAGCAACCGGAGGATCACAGGAAACTTCCCCAGGTGGCTGGCTGAACAGCCGATAAATGAATTGGTTTTGGCGGATAACTTGCTTCAAGGTACTCTGCCTCCTGAATTGGCGTCCAATGGAGGTATACAAACTCTCGACTTATCAGAGAACAATTTCGAGGGAGAAATATTTCTAAAC